GGCCTGCAGACCAAGCCCTATGAGGAGAGACTAGAGAAACTGGACCTTTTCAGCCTCCGCAAGAGAAGGTTGAGAGGCGACCTTGTGGCTGCCTATAAGTTCATCACGGGGGCACAGAAGGGAATTGGTGAGTATTTATTCACCAAGGTGCCCCCGGGGGTTACAAGAAATAATGGCCACAAGCTAGCAGGGAGCAGATTTAGATTGGACATTAGGAAGAACTTCTTCACAGTTGGAGTGGCCAAGGTCTGGAACGGGCTCCCAAGGGAGGTGGTGCTCTCCCCTACCCTGGGGGCCTTCAAGAGGAGGTTAGATAACCATCTAGCTGGGGTCATGTAGATCCAGAACTCTTTCCTGCCTATGCAGGGGGTCGGACTCGATGATCTATTTAGGTCCCTTCCAACCCTAACATCTATGAATCTATAAGAATGTTCAAGTGTGGAGAAAGGATGCTCTCCTGCTAATTAGATTCTATGTATGGAAAAAGTATAAATTTATTATAATTTTCCATGTGTAGAATCTAATTATTGGCAGGTTGTCTTTAAATTTGTCGTGCCAACTGCTGCAGCAGGGCATGCTTACCCTCCAGCTTTGGTCCCATTCCAGCCCAGGGCATAGAGCACATGGTTGTTCCAGTACCTACCCCTCCAAGCAGCAGCTCTGGTCCCAGAGGAGGTTGGGACCAGAGCTGCTGCCACCATTGCTGCTGCTGCTGTGTGGCTGAGCATGGGCTAGACCTGGAGGGTAAGAGGCAGTGGGGAGGGAGGAGCAGAGGCTGCTGTGGAATAGAAATGAAGTTGTGAAGAGTGGCTATAGTTGCTTCCCATCACCCCCATACTCAAATCCAGGATGAGGGAGTTTTTCCTCATTAAATGGGGGAAAATACCTCCTCTTAGATTCAAGTAAATATGGTAATCTAGCATCCTGTTGTCAGTTTTGGAAGAGTTGTGCTGTCTATAACCCTGCACTTCAACTGTGCAGCTACCTGAATATTTTGCTACATTTGTTTTTGACCATGACTTCTAACTACTAAGGATTTTATAGTTGTCACACAAATATTCACCCACACAATTATTATATCTACTTTGAGGACCACAAAGTTCTCCACTCGTTCTCCTATACATAAATAATTCACTTTGGAATTTGTCAGCTGTTGCAAAACTCAGTTTAGTAACTGCTCTTTCTTTTCCAGGACTGTTTCTTCCCCCCGCTCCCCCCTCCCCCCACCCGAAATAGTAATACCCCTTTCTGAGTGTAGTAATTTTACTCCCAAATGCAGGAATCTTTTATTAAAGGTGCATTCTTTCTTTGCTTCACTGTGGCCCCGTCCAGATGAGCATGGCTGTGCAGTACTGCACATTCAGTTATTCTCTGTGCTTCAAGGGAACACCATAGCGGGGACAGAAGTTGACCTCTGGATATCCACAGGTCAGAAAAACCCATGGGGGAAAAAAACGTGGAGCAATGCATGCAAGGGCAGCATGCGCTGCTCAAAACCAGAGCCTGGCCAGCTGGAGATGCACTCAGGCTGCCAGCCAGGCTCTGTGCAGCAGGATCACTACTGCTGCAGCCCCAGGAGGTGCCCAGGACCCCAGGTAAGGCTGCTGGGGCCAGCCCAGTACTGGCCCCAGCCTCCTCCACCCCACCCACGGTAACCTGCCACATGTCACAGGGTGCGTGGCACAGGCATTTCCTGGGGACAACTAGCAGTGGCACAAGGTGGAACCAAGTGTCCATGCATGTGTGGACGCAGCCTGTGGGTTTCAGTCTAAGGCTATTGCGCTACTGTGATTTCAGCAATAGGAATCTGCAGATATGTCTTTTGCATACGTGTTCTGTATGGTGTTTTAGCTAGACTCTTTATGGGTTGTCTCTCCATTGCAGGAGTATACAGTATGTCTGAATGACATAAATGTATTAGATTGCAGTTGGTCCATCTGCTGGTAATGTGTTGCTGGTTCTGTTATAACTGCCTTGGGGTTAGTTGAAGCATCTAACGGTTTTGAGGGGTAATGTTAAAGGAGGGGTTGGGATTAACAGAACGGTGGTCACTTGGCACATGGGAGTCAAATTGAATGGGGAGGAAAGAAAACTGGTGCAGAAACAAAAGAGTGGAAGAGTCCTACAAATGTGGCATCCATATGGGTAGGTTAGGAGAACAGAGGAGCCCTTGGGGCAGGAGGGTTTTATAGCTCTTCTCCCTCATCCTTTTTAGTTCGGTGAGCATTCACAGTATAAACTAATGCACTGGTGGGGTTTGTAGCCATGCCAAAATGCTATTGTGTGCTTTAAAATCAGACTTATTTGCTCAGTGCACAGAGGAGTACCAGTTTTTCATCTCAACTGTAAGCTAGGTGCTGAACTTCCTTACCAGTTTCCAGTGAAATGAGATGCATTCAGCATATTTATTGTTCCCATTAATTTACACAGGAGTCTTCTGTGTTGTGGCTGGGTACTAGATACAGTTACCATGCAGGTGTCAAGTGCCAGTGGGAAAGGATCAGCAGCCCATAAAGATAACCAGTAATATTTGCAGTGTTAAGAGCCAGAGCCCAAGATCCCACGATGGGGAAACTGCCCCAATGTTTGAACAAGCTACTTTAAAAAGCAGCAGCTTCTGAAACCATTTAATTGAAGCCAGTGAGCCACAGCCTCAATTCCCTAGATGTGCAGTTTTATCAAGGTGAAACTGCTCCTAAAGCCAGTTAGCATTTTGGGGGAATAACAGATGTGGTGATGGTGGCTAAACATTCACTGGTAGATCCATAACGACCTGAGGCAGTGCCTTTGGTTGATGTGTGATAAGAATTTCTAATCATGTTCGGTCAATTGCAGCAATCCTTTCTGCTTTGAAGAATCTCCAGGAAAAAATTCGCCGGTTGGAGCTGGAACGCATGCAGGCAGAGGAGAACGTGAAGCATCTGAGCAGAGAAACAGCTGACTATAAGAAAGTGCTAACTGAAGAAATGCAACAGAGGGAGCAATCCAAGACTGAGGTGTCAAAGCAAAATCAAGGTTTGTTTGCATTTATGTTTTGCTTGGTAACAAAGCAATATCAGAGCAAGCACCAGCCAACTTAACCCAGAGGTGTTAGCACTGTGGAGAATTTTCAACCAGGATGTACAGTGAGTACAATTTGTTAACTTTGTGGGTCTTGCATAGATGGAGAAATTCAACAAAATAGTTGAGAATTAAGACCTTGACTGTGCTGGGTAACTTGCAAATATTTATCTGCATTGCTTCAGCCCTTGCACAGCTACCAGTGATGGAAGCTGCAGGCAGACTGTTTGTCTCGAGTGTAGCCTTGTCCTGTGTTCCGCAGGT